CTATGCGGCTACGAGATGACACAATGACTGTCACCATCTGTTAAAACCTTGGTCTGGGTCAGTCAAGGCAAGAGGAGGTGATGTGTTCACCTGGATGCTTTTAGTGTACTTTTTTGGTGTTACGGATATAATGGCATTACTCACAGTCTCGGTCAAGGCCAAGATCAGGATGGCAGTCATTGTTCAATCTCATTTATGAGTCATTACAGTTAGAACATACATTCTTGTAAGAACTGTGAGGAAAATCCAATCAAAACTTTGATTGATCATTTACATCAATGAAATCTGCATTTCTTCGGCTACTTTTAAGACATATTTGTTTATAAACCACAGTTACTAGTTGTAAGTTTTTCATCAAGCCAAACGAATATTGAACTTTTATTAATGTGTTGCACTTATCACAGAAAGAGTCATCCGGGAATTAAGCTATTGTGACTGGATGGATGTGTGAAGCCGAAATACATTTTTAGCAGAGATAATTGGCAATTTATTCCCATAGCAACCAACAAAACTGAATAATTTATGTCTAATTAATAGTGTGTATGCTGCTCTTTCATAGTCTCTACTCAGCAAGTAGCATTTTCTTTTTCTTATTGCAAATTACAAAAGCATGAGAGTGTGCTAATTTAGTGCTATGACTAAATATGTGTTAAAGAGGCTTCTAAAATGGTTCTCTCCCCTGCATGGCAGTTTAATGTAGGCTCTAGGCACAGTGGGTCACAGGCTGAATAATTAAAATATCTTCAAGACAAATGGAAACCATTCAAATAATACAACTTGTATTTGCACCTGCAGACTAAGCCTGATCTTTTTGTGGAGTAATTTGTCAAACATTGGAAGCTGGTCTCTGTTTACTGGAAAAACCTTCAATTTGGGTTGGCGAATATGCACTGTTAGAGTTGAAACCGTGTTCAAACTTTCCTGTCGAGAAAGCCCCTCTGGCCCGACATTAAAATAAGATCAAATGGAAGGTTAAATTAAAATCAACTCAATGTTGGTTCTATAACAAAACCCTGAAAGAAAACTCAGTGTGAATCACAAACAAAAATATTACATTAAAGTGCTCCTCCGTGGTTAAACCTGGCAGCCTAGAGTTGGCCTGCCCTCCAGACCGGTTCACCCACAGATTTAAAGCTATTAGGAATGCCTTTTATCAACACAGCAAATGTACCGCATCTTTGTTAATAAAAACAGACAAATGAATCAAGGCAATAATAAAAATGTGTTGATGTGCTTACCTCTGAGCCATTGAGAGGTATTAGCCAAAACATAATGTGCACTTTAGTGCTCAAAAGTGAATTGCCGCTTCTCAGCAGAATATATGTGTTAAACCCAGAAAGTGCCCACCAAAACCAGCAAGGTTACAGAGAAAGTGTGCAACAACCTGATAATTAAGAACACATAAATTGTAATGCTGGGCAATGATTACAAATTTTAATTAATTGTTGTCTGATATATAAATACATCTATCTAACTACAGTGGGGAGAACAAGTATTTTATACGCTGCAGATTTTCTCCACTTACAAAGCATGTAGGAGTGTGTAATTTGTATCATAGGTACTCAACTGTGAGTGACTGAATCTAAAACAAATCCAGAGAATCCCATTGTATGATTTAAAAAAAAATATTTTGCAGTTTATTGCAGGTCATCAGTATTTGATACATCAGAAAAGCCAAACTTAATATTTGGTACAGAAACCTTTGTTTGCAATTACAGACATACGTTTCCTGTAGTTCTTCACCAGGTTTGCACATACTGCAGCAGGGATTTTGGCCAACTCCTCCATACAGACTTTTTCCAGATCCTTCAGGTTTTGGGGCAACATGGGCAACATGGACTTTCAGGTCCCTCCAAAGATGTTCTTTTGGGTTCAGGTCTGGAGACTGGTTGGGCCACTCCAGGACCTTGAGAAGCTTCTTATGGAGCCACTCTTTAATTGCCCTGCCTGTGTGTTTTGGGTCGTTGTCATGCTGGAAGACCCAGCCACAACCCATCATCAATGTGCTCACTGAGGGAAGGAGGTTGTTGGCCAAGATTTCCATATCCAGCACATCCATCCTCCCCTCAATACGGTGCAGTCGGCCTGTCCCCTTTGCAAAAAAGCATCCCCAAAGAATGATGTTCCCACCTCCATGCTTCACCGTTACGATGGGGTTGTACTCATCCTTCTTCCTTCAAACATGCCGAGTGGAGTTTAGACCAGACCACAAGACCTTCTCCCATACCTCCTCTGGCAAACTTCAGACGGGCCTGGACATGCGCTGGCTTGAGCAGGGGGACCTTGTGTGTGGTGCAAGATTTTAATCCATAACGGTGTAGTGTGTTACTAATGGTTTTCTTTAAGACTGTGGTCCTAGCTCTCTTCAGGCCTCATGTACAAAGACTTGCGTAGATTTCTTACTGAAACATGGCGTACGATCAAACCCAAATGCCCTCCCACGCAGAGAAATATCTGGATGTATCAATGTGTGCGAACGCATGAATCCAAGCACATTTCCTTTGTACATCCCAATCAACGTGGAATTGAGCGCACATGTCGGAGTACCCGACTCCTCCCTGTTCACACCCCTACATAAATATGCAAATAATATTTAAATGAGCCCTGCACCTGCGATTCCCCTCTCTGCATGATCAGAAAAGATATAAGAAAAAGAATGAGTAAGATGGTAAAAAAAAAAAAAAAAACGTTCACCGAAAGCGAGATGGAAGTGCTACTTTCCGAAGTGGAGGCACGCAAAAATGTTGCGGAGGAGTGGGTGGGCCTGACTATACTGGCTATATTGCAGGAATAAAATAGACTAGATCAGCGACAACAGCTTCATGCACTGGTTTGATTATTTGCCGTTTCATGCCAAGGAAAAGTTTACAGCACAGCTCACTCGGAGCATTCGATGTCGGTACTTTCAGTTTCAATCACTGAATGAAGCCTGCCATATGTGGGATGAGAATCGCAACCTTAAACTGCTTGCATAAAACTCTAGATCAGCACTCTGCATTTGTTTATTGTTGTCGTTCTTAAATATGTTTAAACCTGAATAAATTACCTATATAAGTAGTTATGTCTTATTGTATTATTGTGTGTGTATATATTAGGGGTGTAACGATTCATTCACTGAATCGATTAATCGATTTATATTCCTGCAATCCAACTGAATCGATCTGTGCTCCGCAAATCGGCATTCCGGACGACATATATAGATTACAAATCGATTGAAATGGTACATAATCGATTTGTATCGATACTTGGAAATTTACGCACAAAAACTGTATGGATGTATGTTGGTTTGTTTGTTTTTTAGCACTTTAGACACGTTAAACGTTACTCGATTCAGTCTGCCTGTCTGCGACGTCATCAGTACGCAGCGGCAGCCGCGCGAAACTCGGAACAACAACAAAACACAGCGTGGAGGAGATGACTGCGAGCAAGACATTTACAAACTAACTTATTGATCCAGCGTGTGGAAACATTTTGGCTTTTGCAAACACGGAGGTGTTCTAAATAAGTCGGTCGCTCTTTGTAGAATATGTAGAAGACAAATAAAAAACCACGGAAACACGACAAATCTTTCCGGCCATCTACTAAGGCGCCGTGGGATTAAACAACGCCGACAGTCAGGACCTCTAGCAGCGTTACCGCTGCAGCAGCAGCAGAAGGTAACTCCAGCTCTGCAGACACCTCAGGCCTCGCCAGCACCAAACTCAACATCACAGTAACAATTGCCAAGTTTATCTGTAAAGACATGCGACCCTACAATGTGGTTGAAAATCCGGGGTTCTGTAAATTGATCCAAACATTGTGTAATTATTGTGTAATGTTTACATTGAAAATTGCACTTGATTCAAATAAAAGGTTTGCTTGTTTATAATATCCATAATTAATTTAAACCTGATTTCCTTACAAGAAACAACAGCCCTGAAGTTGGCGTGAGGCACCGCACATTTCCACGGTCATTTTGCTCTTGATACATCTGATTGTTGACGTGAAAAAGTGCGTTCGCCACTTTTTTTGTGCGTACGCACCCTTTGTATATATGGCCCCAGGTTCTGTCGTGGGGAGATTGACCCTCATCTCGAACTTCTTCCATTTTCTAATAATTGCACCAACAGTTGTTGCCTTCTCACCAGGCTGCTTGCCTATTGTCCTGTAGTCCATACTAGCCTTGTGCAGGTCTACAATTTTATCCCTGATGTCCTTACACAGCTCTCTGGTCTTGGCCATTGTGGAGAGGTTGGAGTGTGTTTGAGTGTGTGGACAGGTGTATTTTATACAGGTAACGAGTTCAAACGGGTGCAGTTAAACAGGTAATGAGTGGAGAAAAAGAGGGCTTCTTAAAAGACAAGCTAAAAGGTCTGTGAGTGCCGGTATTCTTACTGGTTGGTAGGTGATATATACTTGTCATACAGTAAACTGCTAATTATATATATTTTAAATCATGCAATGTGATTTCTGGATTTGTTTTAAATTCCATCACTTAAAGTTGGAGAGTACCTATAATAAAAATGCCAGACTCCTACATGATTTGTAAGTTGGATAATGTGCAAAATCAGCCGTGTATCAAATACTTGTTCTCACCACTGCATCTAGATATATTTACATACAGTATAGATATTTATATTGAGTGATGCAGTTAATTAGTTTTACTCTACATTCATTCAAGGATTAGGGGGAGGAGCTGTGTAGTTATACTCCGTATTGACGGCCTGAGCTGCATATGGGAGGGGTTGGGAAATGGAGAGGAAGGTGTGTACAATGACTCAAGCAGTTGAACACGCCACAGCATATCAGTAAACATCGTTAATCACAGGTTAGCAGATGAGAATGCTAATTGCAATGGAGGAAATAACAAGACCCAGAGGATGCTTCTATTTATCGACACCCCCAGTGTTACTAATAAGGGCCAGATGGGTGTGTGTGTGTGAGTGTGTTCACAATGAAAAGTAAAGAGTGTCTGGAGGAAAGAGGTGACGAGGGTGATTGAATGTTGAATATGAGCTTACCAACTCGTTGCTTTATTGTCGACCACCCACTCTTTTTTGTTACTGAACAAGACACACAGACAACAAAACCATCAGTCAAACTATGATTTGAACAGACATGGTTGTGAGCATCAACTTTTTTAGAAATTACTATAAATTCTTTGGAGAGATGCTTAAGGATAGAAGTCCCAAAACGTTTTTTTTAAATTACATATCCGCTTGACACATTTAAAAGTGAACAACCTGCAGTTGTCGGCAGTATTGGTAAAGACAAACCCCTTTTTTCATGCTCACAGTTCTTATCATTCTAGTGAAAGGTGCTGACTGAGTGCATAAACCCATGTTTGTGTCTTCCTCCCTGTCAGACTTCAGAATTCGGGGAAGCGTTTATTTTGTGGGAATAATTCCTCATTAATATTCCTGATGTTACAAGTTACTGTGGTTTGGTAGTCTGTCACAGTATACTGAATGCGTATGGCAGGAGCGTACTGGCCATCAGGAAGTTTGGAATGACTTTTTTATATAGAATGAATTACACTGTGTATTCAATTAATGCGTATTTAAGTACTTGATCATCACTTCCACTGCCAGCAAAAAATTATCCATCTATTGTAAACACTGAGAGAATGAAGCAGAAAGAAAATCAGTTTTGCTTTCAGCCGGATGTATTGATATTGTCCCCATACAAACAACCTGCAACCAAAGCATCTAAATCAATCAGCCTGGCTCCATGCAACCAATAGCTTCCTAATTGTGCACTAATCCAGTCACTAAGTACTGGAGCACTGTGGAGTCTGCCCAAAGCAAACACAACACACAAGTCATGAATGAGCTGCTTCTCAAACAAGAGAGTGGAACAGGGCTGACAGAACGTCTATGAGCTATGGATCAAGGTAGTGCACACTCCTGAGCGACACACCTTTGGCCGGGAATCACTCAGCTTTGTGATCTCATTCAACTTCAAGAAATTAAGCTGCAACAAGTGATTCTGGGAGTATGGGGCTTTTGGTGAGTTCTGTGGAGGTTACATTCTACAGTCCCCCATTAACACCTGGGGCCTCATTTATTAAACCTTGCGATTTGCGGCAGAAGTGGCGTACGGATGAAACATAGGACGTGCGTACGCACAGAAGTATTCAGACTTATAAAACCGTGCGCACGCACATCCTACGCAGTTTTCCCTTAATAAATCACAATCACTTATAAATGCAGCGCAGCATTTGCGGCTTCATTCATTCCCACAAATGAATATTCATTGATTGTGAAATCATGACAAACACTGAGAGGAAAACGAAGAAACGTAACTTCACTCAGTGTGAAGTCGAAATGATCATTGGGAGGTGGAAAGGAGAAGTCAAATGCTTTTTGGAGGGCACAGTATGAACATTACTAATGCCAAAAAGGCACTTGAGTGGCAAAAGGGTGCAGAGCAACGCTGCAGCCTCACAACCTCGGACCGTGGCCGAAATAAAGAAAAAAGGGTCTGACATTTTTGGATGCAAAAAAGCGTTTAGCGCGCCATCGCCAAGGTGTGTCTGCCACGGGTGGGGGAAAGGGGACACCGGAGCTGTCCCCTCTTGATGAGAGACTGGCGGCAATGATCGGGGATCGGGGACAGGGTCTGGGCCAACACAGCCATCGGCGTCAGGGGGGGGGGTCGAGGCACGTTTGGAATTATGTAGCACAGCACATGCCAGCACGATTTTGCACACCTTTTCAGGAGTAAACAATAACCTCCCTCCAGTGCAGTCGAGGCAGCAACATCTGCCCTTAAACAGGCCGACGGTGCGCTGCACTACAGCGCCAATCCTTCCATGTGCCACATCTTCTAAGAGCACAAGATCAGCCATCAGCGTCATTACGCATTGTGATGGCATCATGGCATTTTATTACCGTCCATTTGATTGCATCTGACAAGCAACAGCTGTGTTTTGAGGACGAATTGCATAACATGCCAATATTATTGCAGAACATATTTCACTTTTCTTTTTGAAAATGTGTTATTTTGTATTTCTGTTTGTTTTACGCTGCAGATCGATCAAACGGGTGTTCGTGTTATTTATGAGAGGCAGTATTGACATTTCTTTTACACAACAGTCTAGTTTTACACACGTTTGCGTGTTTCTTGCATTTGCCGACAGTTCTCATTTCACCCGTTTTTGTGCGTACGCATGGGTCCGAGCTTGCGTGAAGCACCGAACATTTTTCTGTCAAGTTAGCTTTTTATAAATACCAATTATTCCGTAGAGAGGGGCGTACGCCTTCTTTTGTGTGTACGCAACGTTTATAAATGAGGCCCCTGGTTTTTTGGGGGGGAGTTAATTGCAGTCTTTTTAGGGCTCTGTTTGCAAAGACAGTTAGGCATAAAAAGACTCCAATCATCCACGGTTCTAGAGCTATGGAGACAGAAGACAGTTTGCCAAACTAAGGATCGCAAAGGCCCAGGAAGAGATGGTGTAGGGACACTAGCAGTGGGACAGTTTTCATGAGTGTGTATGTAGGCGCTAGGCAGCGTTAGGTCAACCAACAAGAATGAGGGAGACAGGCCGGCTTCATCATACCTGAAAGGGGCAGGGGGGGAGAATAGTGGGGAAACATCAGGAAGAAACGACAGAGGGGAATGGTTTCACTCAATCAAATGTTCAAAGAAATGTATAAACTAACGTGAGGTATCGTTGGCTCGTCAGTGTCTTTCTGGAAAGAGAGTGATTTATCGAGTGTGTGTTGCTCCAATAAATCTTTGTGAATGGAAGAATTCGAATCTTGAATGTGTTCTATGGGTGGGTGTTACTGAAAGTTCCTGGTCTGTGAGGGTCCTCATCACAAGTCAGATAAAGTCATTGAGTTAGAGAATACTTAAAAATAGTTAAAACTGCAAAGAATGCATCCACAGCAATGCATAGATAGACTGTTTATGCTGCTCCCTGATCAAAGACACATGTTCATGCTGGTGACATAAAGGACATTAACTAGAATATTAACGTCAGAAGGAGCCCATCATGTTTTTAAATATGGTTAGAATATTCTACCGTAGGATGCTCTATTTGACAACTTGCATTATTGTAGTGCATGCTGTGCTAAATTTTGACAACCACAGAAAAAAAGGAAACAGATTTATGAAAGTTATGATCGTGGACTTTTCTATCACAAACTAGATCAAACGTCAATATTTTCTTAAAGTGGTATCACAAATAAAAATGTGCAATACACTACTTTTGAATGAATTATTTAATGTTGTGCATTACAACATTTCTGGTATATATTGGGACGATAGATCGTTAAATGTCATTGAACAAGAAAAGTCGATCAACCGGAGAATAAATATTTGGAAGCATCACAGAGTGCCTTAGGATCTAAATGGATCATAATTCAAGTTCTCAACTTCTGCCTAGACTTAGTGTTTCCATGACATAAATAAAGACATTGCCACCATAATCCACCAGAATGGAGAAAACTTATTTAACACAAAGAATTTGGTGAACAGTTTAGGACCCGAAAAGACCTGGGGCACGACTACGTTGACGGAGCTAGCCCCAGTGAACTTAAGGAAGCTGAGGATCATAACACTATTCCAATAGCTGGACCTGAGACACCATTCTGCCCCGCAGCACAGTAGCAAAAGGCTCGTGAGGGGAAAGAAATCATGTTGAAAAACTATTAAAGTTCAAGCACTACTTGAAATCCTTTTATATTTGAGGCAAAGGTTTGGGCTGACCCAAAGAACTCCTGCCTTTGTGCTACCCAGGAGTGCAGTGAGTTCTTTTTTCATTTGATGAGGTTCTAAGACGTTTTTGAGATTTCTGCATGGAACCCACGGCAGTCAGGGCGACTAAAACTGTTTGTAGTGGGAACAGCATTGAAGAAGGACAGAAAACGAAATAGCTACCTATTGCCAGAAACTATTTCTTCTGTCTGCTCTGTCAGTTTCCACAGATTTTTTTCTCATTCCATCTGTTTGTTTAGATATGTGTGTGTTCTTGTCTGGGTTGATATTGAATTTAAGTGGAGACACTCCAGGTAAAATTCACTATGAAACTCACCGAGTGAATTAATGTTTGAATGTGCAAATGAGGGATTTCCTTATTGAATGTGTTCATTTGCATGACATGTTACATTACATAAGCCAGGTTGAAAATGAATTTTGCCGATAGTCAAACATCAAAGAGAGACACACACACTTTGTATAACTAAATAAATAAAAGGGCAATATATGTCACCACTTCCTCAGTTTATGGCTCAAATTACGAGCTTTCTAAAAAAGGTTTCAATGCTATATATTGGTAACATCTGGTCAATTTAAAAGGAATCTGCAGATGCACATAAAGCAAAATGAATTGTTTCCTCTAGTCTGAAAGAAGACGTGTAATGGAAGCAAAATGGACCCAAAATCTCCAAATTGTCCAGTGCATGAAATAACGATGTCTGAGCTTGAGGCGTCATCTAAATGACGTTCAGACTTTAACTGTTTTCTGCAGCAAGGAAAAATAAGTTCTGAGCTGTTACTGGATATAAACAATATTACCATTGAAGCTGTTCCTCAGAGAGAATTCAAGTTTACCACAGGTCCTTTCAGCATGCAGCAGAGACAGCAGAGGGGGGGGGCAGCAGGAGATAGGAATCGATCGTGGAAGTGTGTTCCTCCCCACCAACACGAGGTTAAAGGAGAAGTCTGAGCAGAAGAATGTCCTACTGAGTAATTACAAGAGCACCTCTCTTAACACACACTAGTGACCCAACTTTCATGGCTACCCGTGTTAATAATCAGTGCTCATAATGAACAGAATCCATAGGTCTGCTGGGTTAAGGTCCTGAACAACCTTGCTCCAAGCAACAACTGCCAAGGCACAGCATCGAGAGTTATGCTTTGCTATTGTTAGAACTGTGCTACGCTACTGCCCTCCTGTGGGCCCACGGGCCAAAGACAATTCCAGTCGATTCTGATCATTGTACTTGACCGTTTCAGGAGAATAAACCCATCTCTGGCAGATTTTCGGACAGATATGACATATGATGGGGTAGGGTTATTGACATCTTTTTCTATATTATCCAATTTAATATAAACTTAAACACTGTCCATCCATGGATCTGCACCAAACGTTTACCAAACGTTTTTAGCTAATGCTCTTTTAATACTAATTTATTTGAAATATTATCCCCACAAAAAGCCCACAACAACAGAAGTATGTCACTTATTTAATAGACCATATGTCCTGGGGTTTTCTTGTAAGTGTGGACTGCATAGCTTGATCTCAAAACACAAAGCTGGGTAGTTTCCATGTGGGTGTATGAACTAAATGATTGTTTGCGAAATTGCCTGTGAATGAAGGCACCAGCTAAAATCATGCCTTGGGCACCAGATTGGTCCACTTTGGCTGTGTATGAATGATCTTACTCAGTTCCTTGGTTGTTGTGAGTTTGACTAATGCTTCACAGACAGGTGTTTCAACCAGGATCTTGACTTTGTCTTGTTTCATATAATGTTTGTGCCAGTATCCTTAGTTAGAAAGCTTTAATGGTAGAATCCAGCACAAGCACATTTGTCTATCATTTTGTGAAACACTGCCCAAACCTGTTAAAAAGAACCAAAAAATGAATCAATGCAATGTTATTTGTGCTCTGTTCTGTACTAATTTTGTGCTGCCACAGGATAGAACAAGAAGCATCTGCAAACACAGAAAGGGTCCAAATCCTTTGAGCCAAACTCCAAAAACAAAATCACATATGAAAAAAGACCCTAAAGCGTTGGAGGTGGTAGGTCAGCTGACGAGATTTCCTCACCAAACTGTTAATGTAAGAGGACCTTGAGAACTCTGTGATGCAAACACTAGGTGTCTGAAGCTGCCCACTAGGTCCCTGATGGATCCAGAGGGATTGGTAGGGACTGAAGTCCACTTTTTTCTCCTTCCACTACTGGCGACACAGCGCGTCAGGGGAACAACGGAATAACGGAATGAGTGAACGCAAGTATGGTTTTAGATCTATTTTCACCGTGGTGAATTCTGACACCTACATTTGTGGCTTTAACTAAACTGCTTGGGGTTCTCTATTGGCTCATATTAGATGAGTTGCATCAGCTGTCTATTCCCCCAGTGTTTCCCCTACCATTCAATAAGGAGGCGCCCCGCAAGAAAGTATATATTTTTTTTACGTTCAAATACCAACAGATGTCTGTGCACAGGGGAGTTTTGTCCCGATGGGCACAAACAGACATGGGCGTACGCTTCAACCAGCAGACAGAGCGTGTGGTGCATACGCCCCCCCGCTACAAATTAATTTCCAAGTACGCGACACCCCCCCCCTCCCTCCGGGTTATAAACCTAGGAAAAGCACTGTTCTCCCTTTGTCATAAAAACTGATCCACAAAATATTGCATAGTATAAATAAAGCACATGGCCTTGAATTAACTGAGAAGACTTAATGTCCACTTAGAACCAAAGACACAAAGTCATTGCAAAATCAACCTGCCAGCACCATTTATTTCGAGCACAAGAATGAGAATTTGCTCAGACAATTCTAGTCTAACGGAGCATACACCTCAAAAACGTTATCTTCTTCTTGGACAAGAATTTTAGTGGTCTAATCACAGTGACATGGATTAACCTCCATTAAGAAAAAAAACAGGCACAAGTGTAAGATGATTATTATTGTAATATTATGAGAAACCGGCCGTGGAGGAAGTAGACCAACAATAAGCCCCTGACTCTGGAGAGCTGTAATGATGATAAGAGTGATCAGTCGGTTATGATAAACCGGTGAACCTCTCACTCAGTTCCCACAGCTTCCTTGCCAGGGCGTCATCTCGTCCCATGGCTCCCACTTGTTGCAGTGCACAGCGCGAGAAGTAACGTCCGCTGAGAGACTCAAGGCCCTCCTGCAGTGCACAGTACACGATAGTCTGGGACCCCCCCTCAGGGTCCACGAAGAAGAGCTTGGCAAAGGGCGTCACAAGGAGCTGCATCCACAGGCTCATATTACGACACAGTTCTGTGGCGATGACTCCTGGAAGGAGAAATGGTCGAAACATGTGAAGACTGTGGAGGTTCTCCATAATTACTGTACACAGTACAGCTTGGCTTACAGGTAGTCAATCTGTTCAATCAGGTACTGATGTGTCAACTCGGAAATTGAGGGAATCACTTAATTTTCCGCTAACATTCCTATTCAAGATGTTCACAGTGTAGGGTAGAGGTCTTCAACGTTTTTTTCAGGCGAAGGTCCCCCAAACTGATGGCGAGATGTCCGCCATCTTTTATTTTTGAGTTTCGCACTCTTTAGACGTGAGCATAAACGCGATCTGATTGGCTAGTGCCTGTGCTGTCTTATTTGCATGAAAGGTGCTGTGAATGAACCGGTGCCCAGCTTGAGAGAGCTCCTGTGGGTAGCTGAATGTGTGCATTGAGGAATGAAAGATAACGTCTTCTCCATCAATTTATCCGTTCGCTACAATATGTTGGATTCATGTTAATGTTTATTTGAAGACAATAAATACAATTCTGATTCTGAAGACATTTGAATTTGTGAAAAAGAAAATCTTATCAACAGCATTTGGTTGATAAGCCTTATCAACCAAAAATTTCGCGACCCCCCTGCAGTACCAAAGGACCAAATTCACGGGGACCCTTTAAGGGAAAGGGGCGTAACCCTGGTGATAGGGGAGGTTAAAAGATCTGCAAGCTTCAGCTGCTGAGCTGGTTTATGGACAGCCATTACGGGTCCCAGGAGATATTTTCCCCAAAGTCAGACCCCTGGTCTGCCACCCAGCAGCGGGAAACACTTCTGGATAAAGCTTTTCAAACCAGTGCCCATGTCGCAGCACAGCCTCCCACAGTCGTACATTCCATCCCGCCTCAGGTCAGTGGAATATGTGTTTGTTCACTAGGACGGCCATCGTGGGCCCCTTCAACTCCCTTACTTTGGCAGTTTTGAGTTCTGGAGACCGGAGATAAAACCTGCACGGTCGACATGGGCGGCAGGCTGGAATATGTATCTGTTGGCTGCCTTAAACTGGCACATCTGGACCTGGACCAGCTGGTAGGGTGGCCTCCCGCCCCAGAGACACAGTGTAGGTCAGGTGATTCGTGCAGGGTCTTTGGAACTAATCTCAAGAGTTGGTGAATTCTGGGGGGAGACATGTAGGGGACTGAAGCGGACCGAATTTAACTTAAAGGGAAAGGGGCGTAACCCTGAGGACAGGGGGAGTTTTAAAGAGAGCAGGAAGTAGATGTGGAGATGAGTTTTTGGATATTAATAAAGGGTCACACGGTGTAGCCAAAGGAATTTTTTGCCTCTCCGTTTGTTTCAACGCTCCTACAACAGGGCACTTACCTGGGTGAAGGCTGTAGCAGGTGACACTGGTACCTTCCAGCCGGTTGGCCAGCTCTCTGGTGAAGAGTACATTGAACAGCTTGCTGTTGCAGTAGGCTCGAAAGTTGTTCCAGGTCGACTGACCGGACACCGAGTCTTTCTTGGAAGCCAGTAGAGGGAAGTTGGCAGTTCCGAAGCAGTGCAGAAGTGCTGCCACGGTAACCACGCGACTTGGGCCACACTGCTGCAGTTTCTCTAGAAGAAGGTTGGTCAGCAGAAAGTGACCTAAGTGGTTGACTCCGAGGGCCATGCCAAAACCATCCTCAGTGCGTCCTGGACCCATGACACCTGAAACAGTTCAATTACTTAGTTTAACACCATTTTACAGCATTGCAGTGGGGAGTTGTGAGAGTCCTTTAACAGGGCTTTTTCATTTGGTTCATATGATAATAAATGCACCCCGGAGGGGTACGCCAGAATTTTGGCATCATCACCTGCGTTGTTGATTAGGATGTCCAGTCTGGGTTCAGTCTTCAGGAAGGTTTCAGCAAAGCAGCGAACAGACTTTAAACTTGCAAGATCCAACTGCATGAACACCACCTGATTGTTCCCACTCTCCTGAAAGACAATAAAGCCAGAGAGTGGCTGTAACACAACAATCTACCAGAACTGACATGAAAAATAACAGTATTTCATTACTTCCACATTATTACAATGTGCAGAAGCTACGGGCTAGTGTAAGTGGGAATTAATAAAAGACTTTCTGGAATACTTTCTAGAAGAAAATGTTATGTTAAAAAATGTGAATACTACACTCAGTTTCCTAAGAATGCCTTGCAGAGGCAGTCTAATAGAACAATACATCTTTCTTTCATGAACAATTTAATGCTCACTTGTAGTGGAAACTATTTGACTCAACAAAACAATCATATTGGAAGCGATAGCCTGTCGTGCAGTATTCGGTTATAGTGAGAGGTGTTTATATCATGTTGTGGGCAGGGGACGGAAGGCTAAATAAATTTCAAGTATATCTCAACTAAATGCTTTATAGTCAGATTTCAGATTAGGTATGGATAAGGTATGGACTCTGAACTGGAGTTCTCAGTGTCATCCTGTGACTATGGAACCCACATAGTACTTACTGTTCGGATATCGAAAGCAGCGGACTCAGCTTTGTCCTTGTTGCTGCAGGCCAGGATCACCCTGGCTCCTCTCTTTGCCAGTTCTAGAGCCGTGGCCTTGCCGATGCCAGTGTCGCTTCCTGTGCAGGGAAAACCAGTTGCATCCATCAAACTCAGCAAAACACTGAAAACAGTGTTTCTTCTACCATTATATTAGTGGGCCCCCCTCCTCTTCAACTTAATTTTGTTTGTATGTGATTTCTAATTAGCTTGAGTCAGATCACAGCAGAAGTCATTTAAGGTTACATTTCCAAATGAATAAGTATATAATATATACACTAATCTAATCTATAACTTGTTATTTTACTAAACATATTAAAAATCCTTATTTAATTTTGTATTATTTATACGTACACGTGTAGAAAAACAACAGTAGAAAATATACAATTCATCACAAGAATTTTTTTTTATTAAATCAAGCAAACAAAACAATAGGGCAAAGATTTAAACAAACAAACAACAGTGCCGTAATATTTCCTGTCTTATTTTGTAGTTTCTGCTTCTTGTCTCCCTGGGTAACTTCACTTCCTGCTTTGTCCTGTCATCGTCTGTGATTGTCTGATTGTTTCCACCTGTGCCCAATCACCTGCACCTCCCTAGTGTATTTAAACTGTGTGTTTCTTGTCACTTGTCGCGTCATTGTCTATTGTACTGGATGTTCCTAGTTCCTGCCTGCCTTTTTTCCCCTGGTTCCTGTGTGCCTTTTTTCCCCTGGTTCCTGTGTGCATTTTTGCCCCTTGGCCTTTTGCTTTTGAATATTTTGACCATTAAAGTCTTTTTTTGGTTTAAAGTCTGCGTTTGAGTCCTGCCTTCCCCGCATCCCTGACAACAGTGCCATAGTGTGAATCATTTAGCCAGAGGTGATTTGACTTATTCTAGAGGAGGATCTTAATCAATATATGATAACTTGTTTTTGAGACCCCAGCTGGCGGCTGCAAGATGAACTTGGTCCATGTACCTTTTGATAGTCCCTTTTACCTAAAAACCATAGAACGGAAACACAGTTTTCTCGTTTTTCGTTCTAAATCAAAAACAAGTAAAACGGAAGTGGGCAGTCGTTTTCTTGTTTTTCGTTTGGAACCAAAAAACGGGACAAACTAACGCTTTGCTCCGTTAATCTCTTTTGGGGTTTTTCCCATAAAACGAAAATACGAAGCGTAGCCGCTAAACCGGAAGTATGTCGATTTTCACAGTAAAGGCTCTGGCATGGTTCTGCAACTGGAGCTGCGGCATTTTGCGCAGCTGTGTCGATGGACTCATTTTAATTCATGGTTCTAAAAGATGGTGTTGAAGGCAGAGCTGAAGTCCACAAACAGGATCCTGGGGAGTCCAGATGCTGGAGGATGTAGTGGAGGGCCATGTTACATTACATTACAGGTCATTTAGCAGACACTTTTATCCAAAGCGACTTACATTACACTGTAAACCCATGGCTTTTTTTCACATTTTGCCAAGGGAGCAATTCGGGGTTAGGTGTCTTGCTCAGGGACACTTCGACATGGAACATGGGGCAGCCTGGAATCAAACCACCAACCTTGTGCTTCCCAGCACACCTTCTCTAACCCCTGCGCCACGACGACCCCATGTTGACAGCATTGTCCACAGACCTGTTGGCTCTGTAGGCAAACTGCAGGGGGTCCAGGAGGGGGTCGGTGAGGGACTTCAGGTGGGTCAGGACTAGTCGTTCAAAAGACTTCATGACTACAGAGGTCAGGGCGACGGGCCTGTAGTCATTGAGTCCTGTGATCCTGGGCTTCTTGGGAACAGGGATGATGGTGGAGGCCTTGAAGCAGGCTGGTACGTGGCATGTCTTCAGGGAGGTGTTGAAGATGTCAGTGAACACCGGAGACAGCTGGTCAGCACAATGCTTCAGGGTGTGAGGGGAAACGGAGTCCGGGCCGGCTGCCTTGCGGGGATTTTGTCTTCTAAAGAGCCGGTTAACGTCTCTCTCCAGAATAGAGAGGGTCGTTGCTGGTGGGGGAGGGGAAGGTGATATAGATGTAGAGGCGTGAGCCCCTGATGGAGGGGTGGGGGACTGGGGCAGGTTGGTGGAGCTGTGGGGGATGGGATCAGGACATTGTCTTTCAAATATGCAGTAGAACTCATTCAGCTCGTCTGCCAGGCGGAGGTCATTCATGGAGTGGGGTTTTTTTGGCTTGTAGTTAGTGAGGTGTTTGAGGCCTCTCCAAACCGAACCGAGTCACTTGCTGAGAACTGTTGTTGGAGTTTCTCAGAGTACAATCATTTAGCATCCCTCACCGCCTTGCTAAACTTGTATTTTGACTCTGTATACAAGTCTTTGTCCCCACTCCTAAATGCCTGATCCTTCTGCAGGCGTAGTGTTCTGAGTTCCGCTGTGAACCAGGGTTTGTCGGGATTTAGGGATACATAAAAAGCAGACTTTTTTGCCCCCTGCATCGCCAATGCTGCTTTTTATTGCCTTTTCATCGCGGACATATTTGCCCCGGATTTTCCTCCACAACTTTGTTCACCTCGACTGGCAAACATTTGCGGAGATCTCCCTCCATGAATTGGAGGCCATCTGCGCGTCCTTATAGACCGCCAATGACGGGTTGTATAAGTGGTCATGTTTCCGTATTTCTTCCGACAAAAGCTCTGATTCATTCTCTTCAAAAACCTTTCTTTTACAAATGCAGGTATTATACAATACCTGAAACTGGAAATGTGAGACTCCTTAAAGGATGTAGTTAGCAGATGAATCACAGCCTTGCGGGCTGCGTGAGGCTTCGGTAGCTTTTGATGCTAGTCTAGAAAAATTGGTCAACGCACGCAAGAAGAGGTAAAAAAGGCACGCATGAGGCACACAAGGGGCTCTTAAGGCTGGCGCATGCTTCTGCGTCTTTACGCACCGTTGTGTCGACGCACTTGTTTCAATCCATGGTTCTTCTCCATAGTGTGTTGCAAAGCAGTTCACCGCCAGAACAACAGGTGGAGTAACGTTTTTTGTCAAAGGCGACCTAAAGAGTCACGTCTTTGTTGGTTTGTTTATTTATTTATTATAGACTTTATTGCCCCGTGCATTGCCAATGCTTTTCATTGCGGACATATTCGTCTCGTATTTTCCTCCACAACTTTGTTTCCCTCGACCGGCAAACAGACGTTTGCGGAGATCTCCCTCCGTGAATCGGAGGCCATCCGCGCGTCCTTATAGTCCGCCAATGACGGGTTGTAGAAGTGGTCATATTTACAGACTTTTTCCGACAAAAGCTCTTCAATCTGATCCGTTCTCTCGTAAACATTATTTGTTTTAATAATGGTGGTATTGTGTTATGAAAACAGAAATGTGAGACTCCGTAAAGGATGCAGTTAGCAGACCAATTGCAGCCTCGCGGGCTGCGAGAGGCTTGCGTAGCTTTTGACGCAAGCCTAGAAAAATGGGTCGACGCACGCAAGGAGGTCTGAAAAGGCACGCAAGGGACACGCAAGGGGCTGTCCTTGTGTCTCGCTGAAAACGCAGAAGCATAAACCAGGCTTAAGAATCAACGCAATGGAACGTTTGTATGCTAGAAATCCTTCTGCGAAGCCAGCGGTTACCAGGGTAACATCTGTAGAAAAGTTAATTAATTATTATAAATAAATAATGCTTGTCCAACGGGATGTTTTAGCAACAGTAGTGACTATATGCAGATGGATTTTCATTCATCGATGTACGCAGCAATACGCGTTAAAATCGGTTCACTGTTTGATGCAATATAGTTGATAATGTAGGTCAGCGATTCCCAAAGTGTAGGCCTCGCCCCCCTGGTGGGCCGCGAAGTTACTGCAGGTGGGCCGCGAGAGTTCATTTACAATAAATAAATAGTTTTTAATTTTCAATTTTGAAGTTTGAAATTAATATATAAAAATATTTATGATGCAGCACATTAGTTATGTGAAACATGGGTTAGGGTTGATGAAGCACAAACAATTTAAACGAACAGATTAATAAAACAATAAGGCTCTCGCTCGAAACGGCTGCTTTTGTCCGCCTGTCGTTGTTCAACAAACGGGGCGCCCTCTTGTAGTATTAAAGTAAATATACCGCATTTTCCGCACTCCAAGGCGCACTTAAAAGGCTTTAATTTTCTCAAAAAACGACAGTACGCCTTACAATCCGGAGCGCCTTATATATGGATCAATTGGTTAATTGGTTGATCCATACTGGTTGTACACGGCGCCCAAGGCGCTCTGCCAAACATGCCAAAGCTCGGTCTATGACGGCAAGATGCTGAGCGGCGCTCAAGCGCGTGAGATATGGAGCTTGTTTCAGGGCGCGTCGGAGAAACAAAGCTGTCGTTCTCGCGGAGCACTTCATGAGATTAAAGAGCGAGAGACGGCGCCCTTTTCTCTACAGTAGCTGAACCATCTTAACGGGGAAATAAGTTATTCTAAAAGCAGCCGAAGATTTAAGGCGTGTATGGCGAGTGGGGCGGCGGGAGCGGACGCACCGCGGCATTCTTGAGTTTGAGAACCGCTGTAATAACGTAGCTAAAAATAGTTCAATCAAAGTGGTTTATGGTTACACACTCATTGCTCTTGGCTCTGATATTTATTTTCTATGTATTTTGTCGCTTGGGTGAACCCAGACAGTTCAATGAGACGCAGAGTAAACGTGTTCACATCTCCACTAGTGGATGGCAGAATACGTGGATTTAAACTGGTTATTTTATTAGTCTAGGTTGTTACAGATGTATTTAATGCAGTTTATTTTATGTGATTTTTACTGTTCATTTGCAACCATTATTATATACATCTTATGGCATTCAGACATTTTGACTCTAGAATATTTTACATTTTTCTCACTAGACAAGAACAATAAAGAGATGAATTAATTCTCTCTTCTTCATTACTATACCTTTCATGTGAGCCTCAGAGGTATCTCTGGAGCTATAAACGGATGTACATCGTCAGGCTGCAACTGGGTTGGGTAGCATTGCAACAGACTACCAGCTCTTTAGCATCACACACCACCATGACACTGTTACAGAAAATGTATTTCCCGCCAAATAACACTGGTCTGCTGAAAGCTGTGACTGTGAACTGAGAGAATAAACATGTATCTCAATATGTAGATAAGATTGCAGTTTAGTGACACTGGAATGTAATTTAGTAGAAGAAAGGAATGTTTGGACAAGTTGTCTCCAGTGGTAGAGAGACACCTCTTACTTGAAATACAATATTATTATCCTCTTTAGTTGTATATTTGAGTAAGTTCCTCTATCATCACCAAAGTCAAAGGTCACATTTATCCTGAGTGCACTGTGATGTCCTTGATAAAGCAGCAACCAGGAGTCCAATGGTAATGTGCACAGAATATGTTCACAGGACAACTAGTAACAGTGTACTCCATAAATCTGGCCTTAATAGAAGAGTGGCAAGAAAAAAAGCTACTATTGAAAGAACCATAAGAAATCCTGTTTGGAGTTTGCCACAAGCCATGTGGGAGACACAGCAAACATGTGGAAGAAGATGCTCTGGTCAGATGAGACCAAAACTGAACTTTTTGGCCTCAATGCCAAACGCTGTGTGGTGGACACCCAACACTGCCCATCACCCTGAACACACCATCCCAAGAGTGAAATATTGTGTCATGGCATCATCACATTCTATATTTGACCTATTTACAAATAGATGAGATAAATATAACAAATGTCTTCTTGTAACACCAATCAGGCATTTGAGTCCATTGGCAATTTATTGAGAGCACTGTCCAGCAGTACACTAACATCTGGGTAAAGCACATTCCATCTCTGCAGCTTCCTGGTCCTGAGCGCTTTGTTGGTGCCAAACTGTGACACTCTTGTTAGTGAGTCCACCTCTTCACTCTGCAGCTAGTGGTGCATCCGGCTTCGCTGTAACTGAGGATACTCTTCCTTGAAATAAGAATTGAATGTTTTACACTGGTTTTCTCTTGGAAATAAAATGTCTCTGTGCAATCGAGAAGCTGCCCTAAAATCTGGCTTTGAGGTGGAACTAACATGGACGCAATCAGTGATAACTAGGGGTGTAACGATTTATTCACTGAATCGATTAATCGATTTATATTCCTGCGATCCAACTGAATCGATCTGTGCTCCGCAAATCGTCATTCCGGACAACATATACCGATTACAAATCTATTGAAATGGTACATAATCGATTGTATCGATACTTGGAAACTGCACATTGGATTTAAGCACAAAAACGTCATGGGTGTGTGTTTGTTTGTTTTTTAGCACTTTAGACACGTTAAACGTTACTCGATTCAGTCTGCCTGCGACGTCATCAGTACGCAGCGGCAGCCGCGTGAAACTCTGAACAACAACAAAACACAGCGTGGAGGAGACGACTGCGAGCAAGACATTTACAAACCAACTTATCGATCCAGCTTGTGGAAACATTTTGGCTTTTGCAAACACGGAGGTGTTCTAAATAAGTCGCTTGCTGTTTGTAGAATATGTAGAAGACAAATAAAAAAAACACGGAAACACGACGAATCTTTCCGGCCATCTATTAAGGCGCCGTGGGATTAAACAACGCCGACAGTCAGGACCTCTAGCAGCGTTACCGCTGCAGCAGCAGAAGGTAACTCCAGCTCTGCAGACACCTCAGGCCTCGCCAGCACCAAACTCAACATCACAGTAACAAGTTTATCTGTAAAGACATGCGACCCTATAATGTGGTTGAAAATCCGGGGTTCTGTGAATTGATCCAAACATTGTGTAATTATTGTGTAGTGTTTACATTGAAAATGGCACTTGATTCAAATAAAAGGTTAATACATTTGCCATTAATTGTTGTTTGCTTGTTTGTAATATCCATAATTTATTTAAACCTGATTTCCTTACAAGAAACAACAGGGAGCTCAGAAACTTTGCCTGCACCGTCCAGTAAAGTTACTGAATCGAATCGAATCGTTCTAAATTAACCCAGATAGTCTATGAATCGAATCGGCAACCATGAATCGCGATTCAAATCGAATCGTTGTTAAAATGAATCGTTACACCCCTAGTGATAACTTAATAGTAACAAATCTGACGGCAATAAAACTGTAATTTTCTTTGGAACACAGACCGACATTAGATCTTCTCATCCTTTGACCTCTTCGGCTTAAACATTCAATTCGGGATTGAAGTGTAACAAATAATGATGTAGGTTTATTATTCTTAATGTTTAATATAAAGAAACCAAAAGTCTCTTCATTAGAGGTATGTTTGGTTTTTAAATTAAATAAACAACACTGGTTGAACATTAACCCTAAACATAAACAGAATTAAATACATCTGTAATAACAGATAACTAACTTAAAACAGTTAAATATAATAAAATCTATGGTTTCAGTACACGTATTCTGCCACCTACTCGTGAACACGTTACTCTGCGTCTCCTTGTACTGCCTCTGCTCTGCGGTCACTGAAGCAACACAATGCGTGGAAAATAAATATCAGAACCATGAGCAACCAGTGTGCTACTGTTGCTAACACACATCCCATCGGACCAGGATTATTTATTTATATTGATTAGCGAACTTTTCTTCTAATGTTACCCGTGGAACCGCATGCATGGCAGACGGATTTCTAGCATACAAACGTTCCATCGCGTTGACTCTTACTGTGAAAATCTACGTACTTCCGTTTTAGCGGCTACGCTTCGTATTTTCGTTTTATAGACAAAACCCAAAAGGGGATTAGCGGAGTAAATGGTTGTCCGTTTGTTTATTTTTTGGTTCCGATGTAAAAATGAGAAAACGGCTGGCCAAGTGGCCAGCTTTCTTAAAAGTCAAGTGTCCAGCCGTTTTCTCGTTTTTGATTAAAAACGAGAAAAAAAGTGTTTTCGTTTTATGGTAAAAGGGACTGTCAAAAAGGTACACGGCCCGAACTTTGGCTTTGCCAACAAGCTGCAAGGAAGGGGATTCATATCAACATGGGAAACAAGTTTAAAGTTAACGTGTTTTGTCAAGGAGTTAGAAACTCAGGCTCGTTACCTGTTACAATGACCGTCTTCCCATTCAGCTTTACAGACCTGGAGCACGAAGCTCCCTTGAACACACTGTAATAAAGTAGAATGTAAAAGAAAAGGGCTCCTGCTACGAGCAAAAGCAGCGCGGACATCACTGCACTGTGCACCACACAGTGGCGTCGGATTGGCTGCTGTGAATGCTCATCTTCTTCTTCTTCGATTTGTGTACCGGCATGGGCCGGCTGTCTTTAAAACGTAACACCCTGTTCTAGACTTTCACAATAAGCGTTTGTTTCTCAACAGAAACATTTTTCAGTTTGTTAATCATAAAAGTACACAATTGTTTGAATTGATTCCAAAATATAGTAGCTTTGAAATGAATAAGATTTATTTTCAACATTATCATAAATATTTTGCTTTTAAGGTCCGTCCAAAACCGACAGCTCTGCATCCGTTTAGGCTTCCGGTTGAGCGTTAATGAATCGCCAGATGTCGCCAAAGTAACCATCTCAATAGAGAAAGTATGCTCCAAACAGAATACTGTCTGCATTCACAAATATTCTGTAATACTTAGTACTTAAAGTGACGTGACTGCAATAGTGTGGTTTTATATAAGAATGACATGAAAAATGATGTAATCTAATTACATATCATTATTCAAAATGACAGGGACAGCACACAGGGGCAGTAATGTTTGCCATTGAATTAGTGTGCTGAGGCATTAGCTCTTTTTTTGTGCTTTCTCGCCGTAGAAAGTCGAAATTATGATTTAAGAAATTCGAAATTATGAGATTAAAAATGTATGATTCAATTCAATTCATTTTATTTTGTATAGCCCCAAATCGCAAATTAAAAATTTGCCTCAGGGGGCTTTATAGTCTGAACACATACGACATCCTCTGTCCCGAAACCCACACATCGGCACAGGAAAAACTCCCCAAAAAATGAAAAACCCTTTCTTGGGGAAAAAAGAAACCGTAGGAAGAACGTCAGAGGAGGGATCCCTCTCCCGGGATGGACAGACTACATTGGATGCCATGTGTACAGAATGAACAACGTAAAAGATGTATAATACATTCAATTCCTATGACAGAAATAATTCAAATAATTGTGAGTAGCAAGCCAGGCACACGGCAGGACCACCGCAGTGACAACCACCATCAGATAGTTCAGATGATGTACGATGTTCTACGGACAACTGCACACACTCCACACCTCATAACAAACACCAAAAGTGTACTACATACAGTAGTCCACTTTTAGTGGAGTCTAAATTATCTTTAGTCTGAGATGAATCAAACCTATTGGGAGATAAGATACGTTCCGGGTCGTATTTATTTTGTAGCAGTCGTGATTAGTGACGATTGAAGAGTGTTCTCTCTTCATTGAACCAGCGTCGCCAACTCAACGAGGAAAGATGCTGCAGAATCAGCGGCGTCGTTGCACATGGGACTTTCAGTCGGGACGCGACGTGTGTGCTCAGTAACTGCAAAACGTGCTTTCACGTCAGACACCACAAAAGTCTCCAATAAAACCAGATAAGGTCGCTGGATTTGTCGCTAGTCACTCTGACAAAAAGTCGCCAAGATGGTTTGGAAAGTCAATTTACCAAACAACGAAGGAGCCTTCGCATGCACATATCTTTTCGGCCTTCTTAAGTCATAATTTATCATGAAAAGATAAGGGTATTTGTTTTTTCCACTGAAAATCTAAATCCCCATTCCAATGACCACTGTTCCACTCTTTTGATCGTTTCCTGCATCTGTTTCACCACATATTCCACATTCCTACCTCTTTTCCACAGAGCCCCATCATCTGCAAATAAAGATCTCCCTATATTATGTACAACATTTTCATATACATCATCAATCATTATTGAAAATAATAACGGACTAATCACACTTCCCTGCGGTGTTCCATTGTCCACCAAATGGCTGGCCGACACACACCTTCCCACTCTTACTTCTATTGAGCGCCCCACCAAAAATTGTTTAATCCACCTGAACATTTTACCCGATATTGCTAATTTCTTAATTTTGATTAATAGTCCCTCTTTCCACAGTAAATCATTTTTCCACATCAAAAAATACTGCAACTACCACTTCCTTATTCACTTGTGCCTTCCTCACCTCTGCTTCTAGACACGCTATTGGATCCATTGTCCCCCTTCCTTTTGTAAACCCACTTTGATATTTTGACCTAAGATTCCGTGTTTCCAAATAATAAGTTAGTCTTTCGGTTATCATTCGCGCCATGACTTTGCACATGTGGGAAGTCAATGCTATTGGTCTATAGTTTTCTGGATTAGTGGGATCTTTTCCTGGTTTCCTGATAGGTACAATCACTGCTTGTTTCCAAAGTCCTGGTAATTATCCTTCCTGCCAAACTTTATTATACAAGTGCAAAATCACCGCTAGTGCTAAATCTGACAAATGGTTCAACATGATGTAACAAATCTGATCTTTACCTGGAGCAGTTAGCCCTGATTTTCTTATTGCCCTTTTTATTTCTTCCAAAGTGAAGGGAGCATTAATTGAATCTTCCCTCCCTTCAACTGTTTCTAACAATTCTTTATTTGCTTCACGTGTTTTTTGTCTTCCATTTAAACTCTCCTCTGACATATTAGCAGAATTATGGACCTCAATCAGTGCTTTAGCTATCATTTCTGCCTTTGCTTCATCATCGCTAGCCACCACTCCGCCATTTTCCAATACTGGATACCCCCACTCCCGTTTTATTCCACTCATTTTCTTAATCATTCCCCAAACTTGACTGATTGAAGTGCTTCTCCCTATTGTGTTACAAAATGATCTCCAATACTTCCTTTCAGTTTCTTTAATAGTTTTCCGTACTACTGCTTGCCTTTGAAATTATGGGTGTTTTTTAAGACTTTAAAAGCCTTAATCCTTTTCTTTATTATCTCACTGCACTCATCATTCCACCATGGGACTAACTTCCGCCTCGTTGTACCGGTTTTCCTTAAAATTGCCTGTTTGGCAGCTCCAATTATTGTGTCCCTCACATTTCTATTAAATATTTCTATATCCTGATCTCTATCTATAACTGTAAACCTTGATTCACTGATTTCTATAAATGTATCCTACTGAGCCTTTCCAAATACCCACCTTTCTGCTGTATCTTCTGCCCCCACCCTGCATCCTCTTCCTACTCCACACAGTTGAATGCTTCCATACCTCCCACACACAAATACCTGCCAATGACCGTGATACTATTGTCAGGTCTAAAATTGACTCCTTACCGGAGTTGTAATTAATTCTTGTGAAACTTCCATCATTTAAACATACAAGTCCCAAGGAGTCCATCACCTCCTCAACTATCAATCCATTCATAGTCTTTTCCCCTCCCCAGAGAGTACTATGCGCATTAAAATCACCACACCAAATAACCCTTCTCCTGTCTAATCCCTTTATTGCCTCTAATGCTTCCAACTCCAATCGTTGACACAGATTGTTGTTTACCGCGATCAAACTTTCATCTCCTACCCACACTTCAACAACGACATATTCTAGGTCTTTTCCTTTTAATATTTCTCGATAAGAAATTCCTTGCCTAACAAAGGTAGCACATCCTCCCCCATTACCCCGTTCTCTATCCCCTCTTATGCACACATATCCCTGGATCACAAAATCTTTGCTTGGTTTAAGCCATGTCTCTTCAACACATATTATATCTGGTTTATATTCTGCCCCATTAAGAAAACTTTGCTATTAGACTCCTTGCATTCCACTGTAGAATTAACATTATGACTATTCCTGTGAACTTGATTCTTTGTTTAATTGTTCCTGCTTTTTAAGCTCTTCCTGAACAGCCATCTCAGTTATCCCCTGAATATTTAAATATCTTGCTGCACTCTTTACTATTATTTCAATCTTCTCAGATCTCCCTTTTGCTTGAAATGTGCAGTTAACTACTTCCGCCATGAAATATACAAAGTTTTCCTTATTTATTGTTAATATATTCCCACCTCCCCTTTGACTCTTTGTTACAGGTTGTTCATTTGCCTGCTGAGACGGTTTCTTCCTTGTTATATCTCCCCCCCCCCTCTCTCCATTCTACTCTCCCTCTGAACCATCTTTGCTGCTTCTGCATATGATATATTCATTTTCACTTTTAGCTGCTGCACTTCCACTGCCTTTTTTTCTCACTTCACACCCACCATAGGCCACACTATGTGCACCTCCACAATTTGCACATTTGAGCTCTGTCCCGTCCTTACATTTCCCATTCTCATGTTCACCTCCACATTTTCCACACTTTTGTTTGCCTTTGCACGCTGCTGCAATATGTCTGTATTTTTGGCATTTAAAACACCTCAACGGTGGTGGGACATAAGCTCTTATATTGTACCTCATATATCCCACAGTGACTTTATCAGGCAACACCCTCTCTTGGAAATCCAGCAACACTGACAAACTATCAACCCTTTCTCCCCCTCTTCTTACTTGCAGACGTTTAATCCCTATAATTTTCCCACCTCTTATACTTGATCTCAAATCCTCCACCCTTTCCTCCACTGGGATACCAAATATAACTCCTCTCACAAAGGGCCCATCACTTATCTTCTTAGCACTCTCAACCACCATGTTGCACACCTTTTTCAGCTTCATTGCTTTCTCTCTCTGTTCCTCATCCTTACATTTGATCAACAA